CCGCGGGCTCAGGCAATCCACTCACCTCAGCCTCCCAAAGGCGCGGGATTATAGGCTGAGCCACCGAGCCCAGCTTCTGCCTATTATTATTAATATTTCTAAATGTTTTGAAAGACTAAGTGGAAAATTTCTCAGGAGTAGCTTACATGTTGGAAAACTTTGGGTCAGGCAATTGAGGTAAAGCATAAGATGGCTGAATCATGTGTAAAAGGCTTTTAATATTAAATATTTAATTTAGTGTTAGAGTTTGGGCACTTTATCTATTATAACAGTCACATTGAGAACCAGACAAAAGTTTATTTGATTATTCTTTCAATATTATATGTGCAATCTCATATTCTGGATATTGACCTTATTTTTACCAAAACTAAACTTCTGTTGTATTAAAAATGTTTGATAGGTGAAGAGTAGTATATTTTATGTCTTTTGGTTAACTCTGTCTGGTGGTGTAATATAAAATGAGTAAATGTGCTCTTCTTCTTTTATGCAGGACCAGTGGCTGTAGGACAATTTCACCGGTCATTCCGGCGAGATAGTTTGTCCCCTTACTCCTACGTTTCAACTTCGTCCCACAGCCACAGTACTTTCCCTCTGAAAAGTTTAGATCGGACTCCGATTCCTCCTAGAACATGGCAGAACTCCCTTGGGATGCACCCTGGACAAGTAGAGACGTCTCCCACTTTTTCAGATAAAGGGGTGCCATTTCCTGTACTGCAGAGGTTTCCAGCTGAGGTTACCTATACGCTGCAGCCCAGCGCCACATCCGTACATGTTCAACAAGGTCCTCAAACAATGGTCAGCTCCTCCCAAAAATATAGTAACTACACACCCTCAGCGCAGTACTCACAAGCCTACTATCCAACAGGTATGAGAAATTCAAGTTCACTGGCTTCTATTAAGGTAGATGAGCATTTATACTTTTAAATGTATTTTAATCTCTGTGTGCTAACCACATATAGGAATGTGCACCTAAGAAATGTCACAGATTTCTTAGCAGAACATACTTTTAAACCATGTATAAAATTTCATTGTGTTCTTAAGAATTGTTGAAATTCTGTTGGTGCATAAAAGTGGATGATTTTAGTGAAATTTTGTATCCTCAACCAAGGGCATTGAGGACATGCTGGTAGATCCCAAGCCACTAATTGGGAATCCTTATGTTAATCACCATATATTTCGTTTCTTGGGGAAAAAAGCTGTTTGCTTCTTTTTTTGATATCTTTTTACAAGATAATAGCCTTACCATTTCATTAAAACATATTTTCTATTTTTCAGAAACATCATAGCAGTGGCATGTATTTTTTCATGTAGTAAACTTTTTATACAGGATGATGAAATGGGGCAATGGAAACAAGACAAGGGTCAGAGCTTTCAGAAAAGACCAGAGAGAAGAAAGGGGACATTCCTTTGCCCTATGATTTAAGTATCTAGGCTGGGCACGGTGGCTCAGCCTGTAATCCTAGCACTTTGGGAAGCCGAGGCGAGAGGATTGCCTGAAATTGAGGGTTTGAGACCAGCCTGGGCAACTTGGTGAGACCTCGTCTCTACAGTAAATCACACACACATACAGAAGCTAGCCAGGCATGGTTGCGTACATCTTCCAGCTACTTGGAAGGCTAAGGCGGAAGGATCACCTAAGCCCAGCAGGTGGAAGCTATGGTGGCCATGAGCGTGCCACTGCGCTCCAGCCTGGGCAACTCAAAAATAAATAAATAAATAAAAGAATCTAAATGCATTAATTTTCTCAGTTATTTAGATCTAGAAGCAATCTCTGGAGGTATTTTTTTAGACCATTTCTCCCAGGCAACACTACACCAAAAGCTAAAATAAATTGGGAGGAGTATAAATTAGAAAAGGGAAATTAATTATTTGTTGCCATTTAAAAGTTGTAAATCTGGTGACTGTTCTAGTTGTAATAGTACTCAGTATTTTCTAGATGTCAACATCCAACTGTATACTTTTACTATTGACTCATTGCAGTCTACCTAACTATAGCAGTAAAAAGGATTGCTTTATTTCCCCAAAAGTTTAATAATATTAAAATAATAAAACTAGAGTTGAAATTAGGTTGTGTTTTATAGATTTTTAGAGCTACTATTCTTTGGGTGGATAGAATTGAGAAGGAAAAGGAGGAGGGAATTATTTTTTTGGAAGGCAGGCCCCTTGTAGTATAGGCTTCCTCTACTAGATAAGTGTTCTAGGAACCCCTCGTTATCAGTGTACCAGCTAGTGTTGTTGTGAGAGGCTGTGTTTGGCTTCAGTGAATTTTTTTTCTTTGGAGATTTTTTCAGTGTGTTTGCCCATTTCATGATGGGTGATTTACGAGTACACCTGCCCACACCGTGCTGAGTGTTCAACAGTTTTTGACCAAAAATGCCATAGCTCCTGTGCCTCACCCTCCCTAGTCACCTGATTTCACCCAGAGAGACTTTGTTTGTTCACTGGATGAAAAAAGTTCTCAAAGGGAAACAGTTTTGCTGATATGGAAGAAGTGAAACAAAAAAATGGCAGATGCACTAAAAGGCATAAAAATTGATGAATGTTTTGAGCAGTTAGAAAAAGCATCTTGATAAGTGTATCACATTAAATGGAAAGTACTTTGAAGGTGACTGAAGTTTAAATGTGTAAGAATAAATATACAATTTTTTATAAATAAATCGTGGGGTTTATTTTTTGGTCCCTCCTTGTATATGGGGTAAGGATGATATAGCAGTTTAAATCATTTTGCATATTACAAATTTAAAAAAATAATTTTTTACCATCTTATATAGAAAATGGTTAAGGCCTAGTGTTTTTCCTTATTTGCAGTAGATAAGTGTTCTTTCAAGAACAAAAATCTATGCTATCTTTACTAATTTCTTATTTATAAGTTATGTATGTTATGTATACCAACACACAGGGTCATATTTTTATTACTGAGGAGTTTAATCCAATATTTTAATAAACAAATGAAACACTGCTATCTAATTTATGATTTTGACTGCATTTCATGTATATGTAGAATATATATGAGGAGACAGTCTCTATTTTCCTTACATGTACTTTACATATTGTAGCCCAACTGGCATTTCCCCTAGTCTTTTCACCAATAAATGTTTTCCTTTCCTTTTCTTTTCTCAAACCGCTAAAGATTCAAAGGCTTTTGGGGAGTTGAAGTTTGGAAGGGCTAGAGCAGGGAGATGTAGAAATGTGTTCTGGCCTTCCAGTGTGGAATTTTGGAGACATTTTCCTTTGGAAATATTAGATATGGTGGTTTGGTTTTTTTGTTTTGTTTTGTTTGTTTGTTTTGAGTTGGAGTCTCACTCCGTCGCCCAGGCTAGAATGCAGTGGTATGCTCATGGTCACCCCAGCATCGACCTGCTAGGCTCTGGCGATCCTTCTGCCTCAGCCTTCCAAGTAGCTGGAACTACAGGCATGGCTACTACACCCAGCTAATTTTTGATTTATTGTAGAGACGAGGTCTCAACAAGTTGCCCGGGCTGGTCTTGAACCCGTGGGTTCAGATAATCCACTTGCTTAAGTCTCCCAAAGTGCTGGGATTATAGGCTGAGCCACCGAGTCCGGCTGGTTGAGTTTTATATTACTATTAGTCCTATACTTAAGGTAAGGTTAAGATGCTTAAGATGGTTATAGTCTAGTTTAGGAGCTAGACCAGCCTATATGATGTTGTTTCTATGGGAATATGTATTTCAAGTTCCAAGAAATCCTCATGGAAACTCCTAGCTCTAAATTTTATGAGAAGTTCTTTATATTATTCACTAGGAAATACTACACATAGTTAATATTATTCATTATTATAGAAATACTATTTGTTTTTTTTGTTTGTTTGTTTTGAGTTGGAGTCTCACTCTGTCACCCAGACTGGAGTGCAGTGACACACTCCCGGCCACCGCAGCCTCAACCTGCGGGGCTCTGACAATCCTTCCACCTCAGCCTTCCAAGTAGCTGGAACTACAGGCGCGCACTACCATGCCCGGCTAATTTTTTGATTTATTGTAGAGATGAGGTCTTGCCAAGTTGCCTAGGCGGGTCTTGAACTCACAGGCTCAGGCAATCCACTCACCTCAGCCTCCCAAAGCATGGAATTACAGGCTAAGCCACCAAGCCCGGCAGAAATGCTATTTGTTAACTTAGCATCTTGGACGTGTTTAAAAAATACTTTATTTTAGCTTGATATACACTTATAAACTGAGAGTTATGTTCAAGAATTCAAGGTAAGGTTTAGGAAGGAGATAGTAAGAAAAGAACAAGTAAATGCTATGGATATTTTGATAGTATACAACACATATAAAATAGAATCTGTGTTATCTGAATTTTTGTTTTATCTGACTTTGATAGGGATAATTTAAATGACTATAAAGTTTCTGAGATTATGAGAATAAGAAACCTTATGATGACTTCTATTACATGGAGTAGTTGTATGATATAATGTTGAAAAAATGGCTTTGAATAGTCTGAGGTACTTTATAAATAAAAAGTTATATTGCTAAATACAAAATACCTGCAATGAAATAGAAAGTGCTATAAAAATACTCTACAAGTACTTAATTCCTCCAAACTGTGGCTGAAGGAAACAAAAAGGAGTGAGCAATTTAAGCACTATTTAGTGAGTAACCATTTATGAAGAGTATTACAAATGACTTTCCCAAAGGTAAATAGATTATCAGAAGCAAGATAATTACTCCCAAATTCAGCTAAATCATAATAAAGGAATGAATTTTGGAATAATTTTGGTTATACTTGAGTCATTTCAAAATGAATTATGTCCAGCCTAGGCAACATAGTGAAACCTTATCTCTACAAAAATAAAAAATAAAAAAATAAAAAAATTAGCCAAGTGTAAAGGTATGTGCCTTTAGTCCCAGCTACTTGGAATGCTGAAGTAGAAAGCTCACCTGAGCCCAGAAAGTTGAGGCCATAGTGAGTTGTGATAGCTCTATTGCACTCTACCTGGGCCACAGTGTAAGACCTCAACTCAAAAAAACAAAAAAAACAACAAAAGAACTGTGACTTGAGGTTGGGATCAAATTTTAATTAAAAAAAAGAACACCCAACTTCATTTAAAAATCAGTTGTGTTGCCGGGCTCGGTGGCTCAGCCTGTAATCCTGCGCCTTTGGGAGGCTGAGGTGAGTGAATTGCCTGAGCCCACGGGTTCGAGACCCGTCTGGCCAACTTGGCGAGACCTCATCTCTACAATAAATCAAAAATTAGCCGGGCGTGGTAGTGCGCGCCTGTAGTTCCAGCTACTTGGAAAGCTGAGGCGGAAGGATCGCCAGAGCCCAGCAGGTCGAGGCTGCGGTCACTGCATTCCAGTCTGGGCGACAGAGTGAGACTCCAACTCAAAAAAAAAAAATTAATTGTGTTAAAAATAAACTTGGTTCTGGTCTTTAAATAGTATAACCAGTAAATTTTGAATTTTATAATGTTTTATGAATTATTAATTTATCTAGTAAAGCCAAACAGTGAAACTAAAACACTGCCATCAGACTGACTCATAAAATGACTCATTGGAATTATTTTTTATATTTATTCCTTCCTCAAAGTGTCAGCTTTCCTTGCCTAGCTCATTCACATTTTTTCCATTCCTATCACTCCTTCAAAGACAAAATGTCATAGATCCAGTTTTAGTTGATACTTTTTAGCCTTCCCTTATCTAGAATTTGTTTTTTTACCCTCTGATGTTATTTTCACAGTGTGCTACTACAATTTAATTTCCTTCTTTTATTAAAATTTTTATTTTAGCTGGGCTTGGTGGCTCAGCATGTAATCCCGCGCTTTGGGAGGCTGAGGTGAGTAGATTGACTGAGCCCGTGGGTTCAAGACCCACCTGGGCAACTTGGCGAGACCTCATCTCTACAATAAAT